TATATATATAAAGATTTTATAGTAGTTTTCTAGAAAATTCAACTGTTTGTGAATTTACATTTTATCCAGTCTTGGCTAGTGCAGGAGTTCACAACGTCTGGGTCAGCACCCCTTAGGTGGCCATGAAGCATCAACTGAGCAGTCTTTTCTAAATCCAAACTACATTCAAAACATATACTACCATAAATGTTGCAAGAGCTACAAAACATAGGTACAAATGAACAAAAGCAGCAGAGTAGATGTAACGATTGTGTTTTTTTGTGTGTCCTGGCTGCTGATTTCTGGCGTTGTGCAAGTCTGACGCTTTAAAGATGGAGAACCATTAACCTAGAGCTTTTGCCCCTAAATTATAACCCACAAAACAACCACAGCAGACACTTACGAGCCAAAGTGTTTATAGTTGAAGCATTCAGGCCAATTAAAAAAGGGTGTAATGATACAATTAACAGGATCAAATAGAGCTGGTCAGTTACTGAATCACCCAGATTAATGATTCGAATCCTCACACTGAATCAGGACTCACAAGCTGCAAAGACTCAGACAAGTCGAGTCCCTGATCCAGGTAATAGTTCGCCTGAGTCCATAACGTGAACCATATTGACCACCTCTAGAATCAACAACCTTTCATTACTTCTATGCGTAAGTCTTATCTTCTGGAACAACAACAAAAATGTAACTAGAAAGTTCCTGGAGAAACTTTAATGGGGACTGCCACGTTGCAGCCACTTAAATAATTTGATTTAACAGTACTATGTGTTGGAGTTCGCGCTCAGCTACCACCACATCAAATTTCAGCTTAATATGTCTAAAAATGGCTGATTTAACATATTTTTCCTAAAATTAGCAGTTCTAACTCCTTTGCAAACCACTGTAGAAGTGTCTAAAACACCAGTATGTCAGTATATTACAGCTCCATGTAATTAGAAAAATATGCAGTTGTGATGTTATTGTTGAATACTGTGATAAACCTCTCTGCACTTTTCCTGTGCCACGTCTGGGCCCTGAGGCGAGCGTGGGCTCGTCTGACTACCAAAAAATATATTTTTGACATGCGATTTGTGCCTGTGAGTTAAGAAAATCCTTAGCAATGTTGGCATTTCATTTATTTTTAATACATTTGCAGTCCTACATAAAACATTTAGTTAAAAACTCAAAATATCCCTTAAAAATAAAGGTTCCCATGTGTCATCATTACTATATGACTGCGTGCACTATCAGTACAGGACTGCAAAATCTCAAAGTGGCATTCTCTGCATGCAAACAATTTAAAATAATGTGGATTTATAATATAATCTATATTTCAAATGCACATACATTACAAAGTCATGAAGGCCAGTCAAAAATAAAACAGTAAAGGCAGAGCCCGATCTTTGTTTACACTGAGTGCGTACCCACATTCCAGACTTGCACATCAATATTGATACAGCTCGAGATGACCTTTAGCGTTAGCAATGTGTACCTTTAAACCTTTATAACAACTACTCTTTTGAGAAGACTGAGATAACAAATGTTCGGATTAAATACTTAGGAGTGGAGTGCACGCAGCCTTTGACGTCACCACTCTGCGACTGTTAGAAAAACAAAAAGTGCCTGGGAGATCGTAGGTCGTAGAACGAGCGGTCGAGGCTGGCAGTGAGCTGCAACTCAAACTGCGCAGCAAAAATATGTTCTTCTGTTTGTTTCTCTCCTCTCTAACAGTCACAAAATGATGACATCACGTTAAAGGCTATGTTCCATCTCTAAGAGTCTAAATCAAACATTTCATGCTTAACATCTAGATTTAACACTTTATTGTTTAAATGTATCACTTGAATTTAAGATGCAAGATTTCTTTTGTCATTATTTCCATGACCACTACATTTAAAAAAGTGTAAACAACTCATAAATTATAAAGTTAATATTTGTTTCTTCTTTCGGCTGCTCTCTTCTGCAGGGGTCGCCACAGCGCACTAACTTGCACAAAGACTCGGCAGTTGTTTTTACACGGGACGCCCTTCCTGACACAACCACAGACCATCGAGCTACCACAGCCCTCTGTGTGGAGCAGAGAGCTGCTATCTAGGGCGCCAGGGGGAGTAGATGATCGGGGTTAAGGGCCTTGCTCATGAGCCCAAAGTGAGGCAAATAAGGGTGGAGGCAGATGTGGGTGCTTCACCTTTCCCACCCACATTTTGATGTTGTCAATCTGGGGAGTTGAACCAACGACTTTCCTCTAACTTCTGTGCTACCACTCCCCATGTTATGTTTAAATTCACATTTTAAGATGTAACACTTACATTAACGTATAAATATCAAACTTAGACTGGTTATAACTGGTGCATTACAATATTTGATGTTCAGCAGTTTATTTATTGAATTTTTTTTTAGCTACGAGTGGGTCGTCTCCATATTGCAGACGATCTCTGCAGCAGAATACAGTACGTGACGCAACTCAACATGGCAACACGCTTCAAAGGCGGAGGGAGCGTGGCCAAGGAAGAGGTGTGATGCGATCTTCCGCAAAAGCTGCGACGTTAGCAAGTAAAACGCGACAAAGTGCGTCCCTAAAGCTGTCCAACATGCAAAGACTTAAAAAAAATAACCTCTTGTGTTTTCCTCGAGAGGAAACGCGCGACTTGCTCGTGTTCGTCGCCCACTCCAAAGAGGAAGCATGGCACGCCACACGAGCTGCTTCATGCGCACCCATTTTATGATGACCGTCCTCCTCTGCTCGACGAGCGTCCCCTCCTCCTTCCCGACTTTACGTCTCTTCGCGTGAACTTCACATGGACACAGGAACCGAGACTTTAACAATAATCTGTTAAAATGGGCTTGTCGCCGCGCAGTCGTGTAATTTGATCTTTTGTTGTTCTTCCTCGCTGCAACAACGTTCGTCGCGTGCGCGAAGTTCAAAGCGAGTGCTCCTTTATATTATCTTGAAAAGCTTAAAAAGTCGCATTTTGCTCACCTCTCTGATGCTAAACAACATTTAGGAGGCGGGTTGAGTTTGATTAAAAAGGCTTCGTGGGGAGTTTGTGTTTTGTTGACAGCAGCAGACCCGCGTTTTGAGACGCATCACGAGTGGGCGTGAGACACAACTAACTATTCAGCAGCAATAAACACCCACAACCCGCAGGTTAGCGCCACGTTCCCACCCGAACCCCACTTTATTAAATACAACACAGTTTTCTCGAGTTTAGTTAAAAAAAAATGTTTTCCTCACGAAAGACGAGCAATAACAACAGCAGCCTCGCTCTGCTCCTCGTGTCCGTCTGCACGCGAGCTGACTCCATTTAAACACGTCCTCGCGCTAGTTTCGTCCCTTTATTCAAGTTGTCTGAGCTTCAAACGTGCCCCGCAGACGACGCTGGCCCCGCAGCGGGCCTCAAAAACATCAGCGATTGTTTCGAGACAACTCATAGCTTGTTTTTGATTTTGATTAAGACTTTTAAAACCCGCCTGAACAAAGACAAACCGGAAGTGGCTAGCCGTGGTTACCTTGTCGTGGAGTTTCTCGAAGCTAGTGGGACAATAGTTATCCTTGAGGTGGGTGAGTGATGAAGAAAACCCGCATCGGTAACCCGCTCGCCTCGCTTGTTGATGTCTGAGCTCGACAGGACCGCGAAGAGGGGGCGGGGTAGCTGGATAGTTGTGGAGCCAGTGCGCATGCGTCACATCCACGCCTCCATTTCGCAGCAGAGCTCTGCTGCTGTTTGTGCTTTTTCTCCCTCTCTCTCCTTTTCTTCAATCAAACGATTTACATAAACGACGTGTGACGTAGCGTGCGTCCGCGATCGCTGGCCTTATAAGGATGGGAATATTACGCGGGAACAGGGGGCTCGGCCGCGGTTGCTATGGCAGATTGGAGAATGTAAGCAAAGGGGCGGGGCTTGTCTCTTTACTACACCACGCCAGATGGCTGGTCTGTGGAGGCCTGCAGCTTTTAGGGGGCTCGCCGTCTAGCACCGAAGAGGGCTTTGTGGGTTTCAAATGCGCGAAAACAACCAGATTAGTGCGAAGTAAAAGGTAGCTTGTATTTTATCTCCATCCAGTGCGCAACAAGGGCTTTAAAAAAAGAAAAATGCTAGCATAGGCTGTCTGCGTCTTTATGTTGCTGAAGGTTTTAGACAGAATTTGAGGGAAAGAAGTAGAGCTGTTCCAAGTTCACGGAAAGCATGCCTTGCACAACCCCCCAATTCTGGCAAAATGTAAATAAAAATAAAATGCAATGGTTTATAAAACTAATAAACCCGTAGTTTATTCCCATTTCAACATAATATATGTATAAAATAAGAAATCACTCATTTCTGGGCGAAAATTAGGTTACAGTATTTTGAGTTTGATGGTGGCATCATGTCTCAAAAAAACTGAAAACTGAAGCAATAAAAAGCTGTAAACGATATGAAAAAAAAAAACCACGTTTTCGCAAATAATTAGGTTAACTGGCAACATGTCAAGTCAGTAAAAAAACTATGCATAAAAAGAGCATTTTTTTAAGAGTTTTGGAGCACTGCATCTCTCAAAACCATTTAGCAAAAAACGTGGAAGGTTTAGTGGAGCAATTTCAAAATAATGTTTCTTGTGGTAAAATTGGTTAAACTTTTTTTTTTTTAACCTCATCATCTACATTTCATAAAGTTATCTAAAAAAATAATGGCAAGAATCTAAGGATGAGGCGGACACTGCGTTGGATGCTCGTACTATTTCAAACCTCTGATGGTGCTGCTTTAAAAAATGGTCTGGTTCTCTTCTAGGCTCAAGCACACTTCCACAAATCAGTGTCTGTAAATACAATTCACTGTTCCATCCATAAATACAAGAAAAAAAGCATTGTATTTACAGACCATGCAAGAAAGAAGACATTTGGGAACGTCAACAAGAAAAGCCTTCTTCTCTGGGCCAAAGTGAATTTTAAAATGGACTGAGATGAAGTGTGAAGTGGGAAACAGTTCCGTGGTCAGATGAATCCAAACTTCATTATCTTTTTATAAACCACATCCTCCTGTAGTAAAGAGAAGAGGGACCAGCTGGTCTTTTATCAGCACACAATATAAAACCCTGCCTTTCTGATGGTATGGGGGTACATTTGTACTTCTGATGGGAATGCTTAGACACCTGGAAAGGCACCATCGATCCAGAAAGTAAACCATGCTTTAGATATGCTCCAATCCAGCAAGCAATTTTGAGAACGCAAATTTTATTAAACCAAAAAAAAACTTTAATTTTTGTAATAATATAGTTTTGTTAGGCAACACAGGAGATTATATAAATGGGGTCTTCAATGAGTCAATTGAGTCATTTTGCTGATTTGTTTTGGTAAGTAAAAATACTGGATGATTTTTTATTTTTTTTTATATTTGTTTTGCATTCTGAAAACAAACACCTGCACAGGTCTTGATAGAAACAGAGGAAATACCTGTAGTGCAGAAATTAAGGAGATGATTAACGGGTATTGTAGCTCCAATAACAGGGTAATCCATTTAATAAAGCAGTAAATTGATAATAACCAATTAATAAACTGTTTGGAGAAGGTAACTCAGCACCGAGTGTGGTATGAGCAGATGTGGTCTCTGAAGAAACAGGTTCAAAACAAAACAAATCAGATAAATCTTAAATCTGCTTCAGGAAAAGAAGAGATGTTTTGTTTGTTGACAATTAAAACGTATAAAAAACTAATTCATTTATAGAGTTATAAATGATGTTGCGTGTAAAGGACCGGGAGACGTGACGGTTATAGTCACAGGTGGACATTAAAATGGTTTTGCAATTATTAAAGATCATTTATTCTGCCACAGAGCAAAGTACATTTATTTTTTAAGGGAAAAACAATACATTTTTAAACAGGCAAGAACATTTAAGGTTGAAAATGTAAATTAAAATTCACTTTGCAGATCTAGCAGAACAGTGGATAAAGTCACGTCCTCACATTTTATTTATTTTTATATCACCTAATTTGAAAGACAAGCCATGAATTTTTTTATTATTATTATTATTTCCGTATACAGTGTTTAGCTGTTAAATGAAATCTGGATATTGTTTTTTTTTTTCAAAATAAAACCTGAATGAACATTAGCTATTCCTTCTAGGGGGGTTATCCATGTTATCACTGTAACGTGAACATTTAGTAAAATAAATCAAAATTAAAATTCTGTTGCAATAGCTTCTTCATATCTCAAATTTGAGTAAATGGCCTGTAAAATAATACCAAAGCATGTCGGTTATGTCAATAACTTTAATGTTCAACAGCACACTTCATAAATAATTCATTATTGCTTTTTCTAATCTGTATTTAAACAACAAAGACTTGGTCATAGGAGGGTACGTACAGTAGTGCTTGCAGGATAGTGCAGAAGACAGCATTGTAATACTTCAGCTGGTAAATTAAATGCCATATCAGCATAATACTTATATTCCTGTGCTCTGTTCATCATATCCATTTTGCAAAAATGAACCTGAAAACAAACAGCCTGTCTATTTTTCACTTAAAGTGCGATCATTTTGGAGCCTATTGTTCACGGAAGCTAACAAAATGTCTTTATATAGGAAAAAAGGTTCACAACCAACTCAATACGCCATTTGAACAACTGGAAACCACTAAAATGGATGGCTAGAGCAGTTCTATGAAACGTCAAATGAAGCAAAAATATTTACAATAAGAGCAGATTCTGACAAAATGATAAACGGTACTCGAACTGACACAATGAGGACACCAGCTGGGATCCAGGGTTTTCATAAGCAGATAACCTCAAACTGAAACAAAGACCAACAGGCCGAACGCCACACTGAATAACAACTTAATGCAACAGTTTCATGTTTAAATTACACAAACGGAGCACGATTCTTAACAACAATGTTCACCACGATGGTAAATAACAGAAGGGTAGTAAAGCCTGAGTTGTGACAGTTCAGGTTATAACAACCAAATCATGAAATTCTGGCCATGCATGTTCAAACTTCAAGTGCAAGCAGTAAGTAGGACAGGTAAATACAGTAAACTCATGTAAGCAGGAAACATATCTAATGCAGGTGTGACATTTCTCCTCGAGGAAATAGGATTTCACAGTGTAAACAGACAAGACTACTTCCTGAAGCAAAGACAGTTTTAGAAGACATTTAGCTCAGTGGACAAGGCAGATATGTTTGGTGCTTCAGTAGCGAGTGTCTTCGTCTGGTTCGTTTTAAAGATGCGGTCACATTTCGCAGGTGTCTGGATGGACCTCCTCCTCCAGCTGGATGAGCGATTGGACCCGTGGGCGTTTTAGAGCAGGACCACGTCAGGGTCAGAGGTCAACCCCTTTCACAAGCGCCGCCTCCAGCGTGACGCTGAACTCGTTGAGCGTTTGTAGAATCCGACAGAGGGAGTGCACAGCCGCACGGTCCCGCAGCAGAGCCCCGTCCTCGTACGTCCGAGGGGTCAGAGGACACTCTGCCAGCAGGGGGAACCACTGGGACAGGAGTCTGTCCCTGCAGACAGGAACCACGGACAGTCAGTAATCACAATTAGCTGAATTATGTTCAAACAATCAGTAACAAGGATGTTTTTTGTTGTCCAATCATTAAAAACAGATTTATTAAGCTCTGTACTTGTGTTATATTGCTAAGTATTTGGGCCTTTTCTCTGATATAGAAGTATTTTTAAAATATCTTCTGCTCACCTTACTCCAAGACAGACAAACAGCTGGAACTTTCCCTCTTTTCCGATGTTTCGGGGTGAAGCATTGATGGCATTCACGTAGCGGCAAAGTAAATCCCAAGGTGGACCTGTTGTTAGAGTCGATCCATGCAGGTCACCCATCTGATCATTCGTCTCCATGGCAACCACTGCTTTCTCTATGGGAAGAGCCGAGGGACTCACAGTCAGACTTTGTAGCATGAATTCTGAGGTGAAACAGGAGAAATAACCACTAGATGGAGACAGGAAGTAAACGTCACAACACCATCCTACCTACAAAATCCCAAACGAACACGTTCCTCTGGAAAAGACGGTTGGATTTGAACCCGTGGAGGAGGAACTTCTCCAAAGCCAGCACCAGTCCTCCTTCACCACATAGCAAGACTGTTGGGTTCCCCCTCTGGTTTGGCGCAAGGGGAGAAAAATAACGAGTCATGGAAAATAAATAACATGCTGGGCAAAGCGAACAGGTGTCAATTCAAATTAAACGTGCTTGTCTGCAGACACCACCACAGTAACACACCTCCTGTTCAGGTTTGTGGAAATGTTTAACGAGGCTATTCGCCGCCTCCCTCAGGTCCTCTTGGACTTCAAGAGAGCTCATCCCTGAAAAGACAAACTCATTCAGAAATGTATCCAGTAAGAGAACAGTGATACACAAGCATAAACTGTTTTTACGATGAGCTAACAATGAAGTAGGTCAGCTATTGTACAAAAAGGGTGCGGTCTTTGTCGGCACGTACGGCTCCGGCTGCCAAGAGATCCCAGCATGATCCGCACACTCTGAGACGGAGACGTCAGCTCTGGAGGGGTTCCTGTCCACTTCCCACTATCCTCTTCTGCACCAGGCGTTACCAGCTGACCAATGAGGACTCTTTCCAAGCTGCCGTCACCCACTCCCTTCCCCAGCCATCGGCCACACGGGAACCTACAGGAAACAATCGC